GGGGGTAGGGTGGCCTACCAGCCCTTTGACTCCTGTAGAACAGCAGCTTTGCTCCCAGTGTCACTCCTGCTCCTCAGGAATTGCAGGGTCTCCTGAGGGCATGGGGCATCCTGGTGTGGCAGTCCACCCAGGGCTGTGACAAGGCCACTGGAGCTCCAGGGCTGCCACCCCAGCAGGACAGTGATGGAGGGGACAGCCCCACACTAGGAGCAACAGGATGCAGCAGCTCCAGGCCCACAGCAGAGGGAAAAGTCAGGGTACAGCACCCACAGCAATAAACAGCTGCCAGATGTGCCCACTGGTGCCACTTCATTGCTGCTGGAAGGGGAGAGCCAGAGACCCCAGCCCTGCAGAGTGATGCTCCGTGTCCATCCCCCCATGTCCCGCAGTCCTGCTGGCACCAGGTGGTCCTTGGGGGTTGGAGGGCTATGCCCTGGGGACCAAGTTGGTCCTCAGGGGCAGCAGTGCTTCCACCCACTGCCCAGGCTGCTGCAGCAGGTGCTCCCACACCCTCTGCTCCTCCGGCGTCGAGTCCATCCAGCCCACGGGCAGCCCATAGCTACTCCCTGCGGAGACAACACCAGTGTCACCCCCTGGGCCATGGCACCCTGGGGTGCTGGGGCTCCCTCCTTCCTCACCAGTGCCCAGGCTGAGCCTGATGCCACCCAGCTGGCGCTTGGAAAAGGCTTCGTGGTGCCAGAGGGTGAACTCAGCACACGCCTCGACCAGGTCCTTGGCCTGGAAGCCGTCGTACACCATGGTGTGGTTGAAAAGGGGGTTCAGGCTCCTCTTCACCACCCGTGTCTTCTGCCTGCTCGCCTTGCTGTCATCTGGCAGCACATAGCTGGGGGTGACAGTGAGGTGAGGAGGGGGAGACACCCCCACCAGCCCCTCGGGGTGCCCCCCAGGTGCTACCACCCCTCGTACCACTGCACGAAGGCGTCCACGGTGCCGCTCTGCAGCGGGATGAGGCTCTGAGCATCCTTCACCCAGATGTGCAGTTCCCCCGTAGGAGGCATCCCCCCACCTGCAGGCCAGAGGGGTCAGGGGCACTCTGCCATGCCAGACCCCCCCTCTGGCTGCCCACAGGCACCTCTCACCTTCTGAGCCGGCGGGGATGAACTTCAATGCCAAGTTGAGGTTGCCCCGGCTGGCGAGGCCGTCCGAGGAAATGGGCATCTGGGGAGGATGGAGGGTTATGGGGGCTGTGGATGAGGGGAGTGGGCTGAGGGGCTGAAGACTCACCCGTGGCTGGAGGCTGAACCACTCAGGGCGTGTGTTGGCCCAGTCCCAGTCACCCAGTGCGACCTCAACCTCCCCCAGGAAGAGGTTCCTGCCCAGGCTGTCATGGTGCCACACGGAGAGGTTCAGGGTCCGGCCCTGCAGGTCTCTCTTCTCCAGCTTGTACTGGTGGGGAGAGGACGTAGGGTGAGATTAGCCACCCTCACTCATCCATTTGAACCAAGAGACTGCCCCCAAACCACCCCAAAGCAGGGTTAGGAACCTTGAGGGTCTCATTGAAGATGGGATCCAAGCTCCTCTTCCTCACCGCCGTCTTCCGCTTGCTGCGGTTGGACTTATCGGGCAGCAGGTACGTCTTGATGTACCTG